TACTGTATTGTTCTTATTAGGACTGATAATGGCTTTAAAGCTGAACTGTATATGTGAGGAAACGCAGACGAGGGTTTCTGGCTCCTGCTTTCCTGCAGTAGCAAGGTTATGGGAAGCTGGTAGTCTGGAAATATGAAATGTTGTTGGCAGAGTTTGGAAAACTCAGATTTACAACCTGGCTCTCCTTGACATTCAATATTCTCATTTATATTTTATAGAATAATGTTTATTTGGATCACCTATATCTCCATATCAAAATTTCACATTAGTACTTTATGACCACTAGGCCAGAAATGTTAACAATTAATAGAATAATAATAATATAAATGACAATTAAAAAAATTCTCCACCATTTCCAGTTTGAATTTCATAAAATCTATTATTTTCTAATTATTTGCTCATTATGCTGAGACATTTCCAAATGTTTTCATGTGACTGCAACACAATAAGTTGTAAAAGTTATTTATCTCTGCCTCCTTGGTTGCCGTGCATTAAATGAAGCTACTCTTGCAGCTGAGTTGCATAAACACCATGCATTTGAAATGTTTGTGTCTGCTGCAGCTGCTTCCCGGTATTGTGGCACCCTGGCTACATGAGCACAATGTACGGACAGCCACACAGTGGGTCAGTGGATCTCTGGCCTCGAGTGGAGAGTCGTGGGAGGCCCAGAGACCCTGGTTCTGTTTTTGGACACAAAACCACAAACAGGAAGTCACTGCAAACATTCACACAGCGCCACTTCCTCCCTTTGTTTACAAAGGGGGGGCTGAATTAAATTCCCAAAGACAAAGTTGTCCCAAAGTTTGCTGCTGCTGCTCCATTTTGTTGAAACTTATTTTCTGAACTCAGATTCTGTGTTCAACAGTAAATAGAGCTCCCGTTCTCTGCAACAAGCAGAATTTGAGCAGAAACTATGATAAAGACAAAGCCTACCCTAAATCCTCTAATATTAGCCTGTATTTAATTAACGGCCGGGTATCATATTTTGGCCGGAGTCGGTGTCAGCGTCGGCGGAGGTGAATAATGGCCGGTTTTTTATTGTGGCCGGGTGGAATGTGGTAACAAGCAAGTACGGGGGTGGTTGTGTCATCCATCTCACTTTTGATTTGCCAGTGATAGACCGCGAGGGAAACTTTAACCGTGCGGAGACGAAGAGGAGGCGAAAATTTGATATCAAGTTCAAAGAGAACGTGCTGATTATGCTGCAGAACACTCTGGGGAGCAGTAGCAGGGGTTGTCTGAACTAGTCACTAGTCGACTTCACCGCTCTATAGTGACTTGTTATGCCTGTCATCGACTAGTCGCTGTCACGTGATAATGACCGGCAAGATGCAGTCCACGGAAAAGACAGCAGCCTGCTGTCAGCAGGTGACAAGCTCCTGGCGTCTGGAGGCAACGCGCTGTGCCAGAGCGTCGGTACCGACACCCGCCATAAAACGGTCATTTAACCCAATTGTGACCTTTACCCTCTTGCAATTTAACCTTCCCCTCACCTCCATCCTAACCTTAACCAGCTTGTGCATGCAAAGCTCTGATTGTTGACGCGCTCCAGACATCTGCGTCCTGAGCACGGCCGCAGTAACATTATCAAATCAGGTGTCGCCACCTCACAAACTAATTTAACACGCGATCGTTCATGTCGGCTCATTTCCTTTTATGTTTTCTGTCTTTTATTCTTTTATTTGTGCCTGATGTGTTTCGCTGCTGTGGATCGGGGCGCATCACCTGTTTTGTCCTCGGTGACGCACCGATCACTGATGCGGCCGGCGAGCACTCCGCTGTTTTAGCGGTCGGTAGATCTTTTAGAACTGCAGTTCAAAGGTAACTCATGAGGTGAATATATATGAACCCAGGTAGCAGTTTCTCTTTAGGATTGAGAGGAGATGCAGGAAGATAATAAACAGGCAGGACAGAAAAATAGTCAAATAAAAACAAGTTAGTTTTGTACCTGCTGGTTGCAACAAACAGACACCATTGAAGGTTATCAGAAGCGAGGAACAGAAAATGAAATAATTATTTTAATGTTTAGAGCAGCAGGAACTCCGAGAGGCTGCAGGCGCATCAGTGACTCTGCGGCCGCTGCGCAGGGGGAGGGGGGAGAGGGCTGAAGCAGGGGGAGGGCGGGGGGGGGGGGGGGGGGGCTGAAGCAGAAACTACCGTTGTTAAAAGAAATGTGTTTAACTTTGAAAATGTGGGCGCAATTTTAATTGTCAAAAACTCCAGCAAACCATTAGTTCATTTTGCTCAAATAGAAATAGTGGCCTGCCTCTAATTCTGGCCCTCCTTCCAATAAAGGCCTGGAGCTTGATGAGCTTGAGTCAAATACAGGCCCGGGCCTGTATTAGAGGATTTACGGTAATTTACTCAGAACAGCTGGTTGTGTTCGACTGTTTTGAAATTCAAAATGTTTAATCTTTAAAGAAGGGTTCTTTGAGGGCCGCTGACCTGCTCATTTGAGCTGTTTTCTTTCTCCAACACATCTAATTAAATTGGGTTAATAATTAGAAGGTTTCTGTAGAGCTCAACATTGAATGGGGGCGATTAAACCATCTGATTCAGGTGTGATGGGCATGGAAACAATGAAAACCTTAATGAGGATGACCCTCAAAGACTAGAGTTGGTGATCTCCGGTCAAAAGATGTTTAGCAGGATGTTGTTTCAACAGTAGGATGTAACAGTTTCAGAATGGAAGCCCAGACATCTCTAATAGCGCGTTTCCAACAACCGTTTTGGTGTGGACTGGGAAGGATAGGATCGCACATATTTCAGTTTCAATTGTAAAACCGGTCCAGACAACCTGCCCAGACCACGCCAGTCACAGGATCTTTTTGGCCCCCTTCTGTTGTAGGTCCAGAAATTTCTGGAGCAGTAGAGTTAGGGCGGAGCAACAACACAGTCCACTGATTGGTTGACAGAAATACGTCACTACTTGCAACAAGCAAAACAAACGGAGTTCCGTAGTTTGTATTTCCATTTGCTGTACATGAATGTGAAAACATGCCAGCAAGTTTTGGTCACCTTCAGAGCTCCATACATTCTTCACCGTCATCGTGAGAGCTTCTAGAGTCCACAGGAGAGGCTAGACGTATCGGTAACCAAGTTTTTATTCTCAGCGAATGGAAGCTGAAGGATCACAGCGAACGTCGGCACAGTGTCGGGCCAAGATGAAGAAATTAAAGCCCAATATAGAAAAGTTAAGGACAGAAACAGCCAGAGTGGATTTTCATTTTTTCGGATGGGAGAAATGTACGGCGTTGCTACGACATGCTGGATACTAGTTATAGCCGAGGCAGGCCTCTGGACTTAGCGACTGCACTCTGGAGTCACATGTGGAGCCTGTGGTAAAGGGTTGCGCATGCCGGTTGTTTAACCCCGCCTGCCGACGTGATGGCCCAAACTACCGTATGATTAAAACGCTCACCTGAAAAGACCCATACCGGAACCCACCGTCCAAAACCAGACCCAACCGTACCAGACCCGGCGATGGAAATACACCCACCCAGCTCCTCCTGGGTGGTGCTGAACTCTTCCCCAGCCATAGAGCATGCTTAGCCCTCACAGGAAGTTCTGGGTCCAGTGAGACTATAAAACCTCAAGAGGAAGAAGAGCAAGAGGCAAAGATGCCCACACCACCTCATAGTACCTTTGGCAGGCTGAGCCTTGCTACCTTCGGAGGAACGTCATTTCACAATCCTGCATCTGTCACTGATTCTGTTCCTAACTTTTATGGACAGAATTTCTAGTCTCAGCCAAGTTGTTGACGGGGATCTGTTTTGGTCGCCTAAGGATCGAGGCTGCTTTTGGCAGATGATGTGATCCTGTTGACTTCATCAGAATGTGATCTGGTTAGGATGCCTCCTGGATGCATCCCTGGTGAGTTTTCCCGGGCACGTCCAACCAGGAGGAGACCTAAAGGAAGACCATGGACACGCTGGAGGGACTATGTCTCTTGGCTGGCCAGGGAAGGCCTTGAGATTCCCCCAGAGGAACTGGCCCAAGGGACTGGGAAGATGGAAGTGTGGGCCTCTTAGGCTGCAGCCCCTACGACCCGACTCCGGATAAGTGTAGGAAAGTGGATGGATGGGCATTCAAAAGCTTCCTATCTAACTATCCAAGATTCATGATGGACATCATGGTTTGAAGAGACCAACAATGCATCATGTTTCATGGCTTCACAAGAGCTTTCTTTAGTAAATTCAGAAAGATTCAACATACCAAACAGTGTGGCCCGCAGCACTGCAGCCAAGTTTCATTTCATGACTTTTCCTAACTGACAGAACTCCAAGCCACCGTTCCCAGGCAGGAAACACCATTTCTTTGTTCTCTAAACGTTTAATAATTAATGCTCGCTCCTACTCCCTCCATATGCCACCCAAGCTAACTTCACGTCTTCCATCTCCTCTGAACACACCTCTGTTTGCATCATGTTAAATCTCAGTCTTCTGCATAAACCTATTTTGGGAAGAGTGTGTAGATTAGTGGAAAAAGTAATATCAGAAGCTGTGTTTTTGGGATAAAAAGACTTCCAGAGAGGATTAAGTGTTACTTAAAATGTTGGCTTCCCAACAGTAGTGCAGCCAGAGTTTGGGAAGTGTGTGGCCTTTCCCTCATGTGGATTTTCCCAAGGGAGCATGATCCCACTTTGCATCCTTCGTCTTTTAAACTCAGTTTCTCCATTTCATAACGTTTCGGCTCTTTGTTTTTGCCACCTTGACTTGATTCATTTTCCAGTAATTTGACTTTTTTGCTAACATTTTTTTTCTTGTTCCATTTTTGCTGCCAGGACTGCCCTACTCCTACACATACCTGCTAAAATACAACACACAGGGAAGGAAATTCATCTTTTTTTGTGGCCAAACATTTTGTAGAAGCTAGCGCAACGCCAAAGATGAAAAGCGCTGGTAATACATGTTTACAGTATAATAAGGCTGCTTTCACTGTGTGCCAATAGAGATCATAAATGTGAGGTACATCGGACAATTACACAATGAAGTAACCGAACAGCATCATGTTCTCAACACTGAATCACTTCCTGCTAAATTAGGACCACCTAACTTTAATGTTGGGTGTGTCGCTTCCCCTTTACTCATGTTTTGGCATTTCCACTTAGTTTAACGTAGCAGAGCCCAGCCCATGTCCTGGACACAGTTCAGACTCTAACTCAGCGAAGCGAATGCAGCAAACACAAGTAAACCAGACCATGGAAAACAAGCTTTTTGCACTTAATCTGGGAATATATTGACACATTTCGAGTAAAGAATGGAAACAATAAGAATTTTGAGAAGTAGATCTTCTGGACGGTTCGCATTGACATTTTAACTGTCTGTTTATGCAGTTTTGAGATTTACTCTACAGTTTTATAGCCTGGCAAGCCATGTGAATATATGTGAGTACATACACCCCTTCTTTAGATATCAGAGCATTTGAATAAAATGTATTTATAATGGCCTGATCAGTGATGTCACCCTGCTGAAATGGTTGCATGCTGACATCTCAGCCAAATCGTGAAAAGACCGATTTTGTTTTTTAGGTTTTGATTATTTCAATCTGCACTAAATATTTAAATAATACATATATTTAAAAAAATCTTTTTAAGGGGACGTGTTATGCAAAACATACCTTTTTCATCCTTTTTTGCTGCCACGTGGGTCTTTACTGCCTCTATAAACGCTCTAAATTCAAAAGAAACCCATTCACCTGTTTTTCGACAGTGTTTGGTTTTAGAAATGACGTAAACAAGTCGTTTCAAAAAGGCCCGAATTGTGTGATGTCATCAGAAGGAGCTGCTGCTGCTGGAGGAGCAGCGGCTCTACTCCACTTACAGCAGCCAATAAGAGGATGGGTGGGCGTGGCCAGCTCCGGCTTGATTTTTTATGTAACAGAGCCCCGAAATGACTCATTCTGGAAGGTACTGAAACTGTCAAGAATAAAACTGCTGAAATCACTTTTTGTGAGATTGATTTAGTGTAAAAAACTTCATGAACAAGTTTTAATTAATCATAGAAATAGAACAAATGGTAAATGGCCTGTATTTGATATAGTGATCGCTCCTGTAGACACTAACGAAGTCTGGAGAGACCTTTCAGCTTTCAGTGTAAGGAGCTAAAAAGGACGAACACACAGCCAGGAGATGCGTTTTGCTTTTGTCTCTACTAAACAGACACTATAGGGGTGCTAAGACAAGCCAAAACTGCCTAGTCTCCCTTTAAATTCTCTTTTCGGAGTATTTCTCTCATCTGATTGGCTGACAAGCATATCACACAAATAGTCTCTCGATCCATTTTTTAGATGGCAACTTTGCGTGTTTATTAATGTGCTTCTGTAGCTACAAACAGCAAAAACACGTTGTTATACAGGTATTACTCTCATGCCATGTGTTCTCATATATTTATAGTTTTAAGACTCACTTGTCCTTGAAAAGTTCATCAGCTCTGCATCAGCCACGGCATTCCTTAAATATGAAGCATAAGCGGTAGTCTACCGTCCACTCCTTGTTCCCTCCTCTCATGACTGATGTCAAGTTGTTGTTGTTGTTGTTGTTGTTGTTAGCCTCGAGGGCAACATGCCGATTATCACTTGTAAGTGGCTTTGGACAAAAGTGTCTGCTAAATACATAAACATAAACATGAACATAAACAACTTATTGGTTAGTTCTGGTCGGCACTCAGGTTCCTATTGCACGGAGCTCTGTGGGGCGGGGGCAGCAAAATAAATAAATAAAAAGATGTATTGCTTACATTGCATCACAGTAACAGCAAGACAACCATTTTTACGGATTTCGGAAAAATCACACATAATTTCTGAAAGGGGAAAACTCCGGAAAGCTACTTTAATGAAAAAGGGAATCATGTGAGGCCTCAGCCCAGCTCCCAGATTAAGGAAGAACTTGACTCAAAATGATAATTCTGATTAAGTAGTTTTAAAATAACTCCCACGGTCTGGAGTTCCCGGACATTTTCTGTATCCTGTGATGAGTTTCTTTTGTGCTGTCTGCACTTGATGAAGCGTTCTGAGGGATGAGATGATGGAGAACTCCAACCCCTGCAGCTGGAACAAACCCAGTGGGATTGTGGGTAAATATCTCCAGCCATGGGAATGAAACTTCCATCTAAAGTCCGTGTGTTGATGAAGACTTAACCGATTTGCAGTTGCTGCTCAGGCTGTGGGAATGCTCTCACTTTCTGTTGTTTGGGACGTTCCCTCCTTCGGCGCTCCTCAGAAGATGTGTTGCTTGTGTTCGACTCAACTTTTCTCATCCGAGGCAAACATTTGCAGGTAAATGACTGGTTACATGGAACGCTGGCGCTCTGTGAGTTTATTACCTGTTTGGCAACAAACCCACAAACCGACATAACGCGTACGAGTTTGTGACTCTAATCACATAATTGTAGTTCGTAGGCAACGTGGAAGAGTGAGGATTAGTGCACCTTTGCATGTTGTCGTGTAACGGTTTCATGAGAAAAGCTTAGAAGCTTGTGACCCATGCCACACACAGAGGAAGGAAGCCAGACGTTTGCTGGGATTGTGGGTTAGGGTTAGGGTTATGGTTAGGGCTAACCCTAACCCTAACCCTAACCCTAACCCGAGAGCTGCAGACAAAACTGCCATCGCTCCTATTTACATTCAACAATGTAAAATAAATGAGGGAAATCCGTTTTTATTATGCTGTTCATTAAATGTCTCACTACCAATAAGTCCTGATAGGGACTTCAACACACAGATTCTTGATTTTATTTCTTATTGCAGATTTGAACACATCTGAAGAGGAACGACTGAAGATTGGAGGAAAAAGCTGCAAAGACACTGAATATTTGATGTTTTTGTTGTTTCCTGTGCTACTTAAAGCTTTCTGGTTGTTAATTTCATTTAGAAATGAGGAGAAAATAGAGATTATGAAGAGAAAATGGGTCAAACAGCTTTAAATCACTAGCATAGTATATTCGATGCATATCTCAAAGACTTACTGGCAGTTTTTTGTCACACAGAAGCAAACACTGGTGCATTTGACATGAGAGGTTTTCCTGCTGCTTTCTGCCTCCCATTACAGAATTCCAGACATTTTTCCCTGCCTTCTGTCATGGAGCATCACTGTTGCTGCATGCAAATGATCAGCATTTATGGAACAGATACAGTAATCTGTATATGGTCCAGTTCAGTGCCTCAGTAGCCGTGGATGTAAAAGTAACATTTATTGAAAATAAACAAAATGGTCAAATATCTAAACTGATTAAAATCTATGATTGAATCTTTAATCCTTTAATGACAACCAGCATTAATGTAATCAGACTCGGCAGAATTACTCTTCCTCGTTTTGACGGCAGCAGATCCCCCAGAGGCACGGACACGCTCCAGAGGAAGTAAGCGTTTGTTTTCTGCAGCCCAGCGTTTTGATTTTAAACCAGCCTTCTGTTTCTGCTCATTTTTCTTTTGTTTTCCTTCAGAATTCCCCTTTGAGTTCCCAAATTTTCACAAGAATTTTTTTTGCTTGTGTGCAGAATCTTCCTCTCACGAGGAAAAGGGTTATTTTCTGATTCCAGGACGCAAGAGAACAACAGTAATCTGCATCCTCACAGGCAGCCATGACAGGAGACTTTCATCGTGGTGAAATATACTTTTCCCAGCTTGGTTCCATTATGACCTGCTCAATATTTACAACAAGAGGAAGAAATAAATAAAGTTATTACGTCTGATGACTTTCAGCAGGATGACGAGCACTGATGATAAAAAAGTATCACTAGGGAGAGATGAAAGTTTGGTTGACATCTTACAGTAAGACTCTATTAAATATTAAAGTATTAACACCCTAATCATACTATGTAATGCATCACAACCCCCCCCGGCCCTTTGACCTAACCTCAATAGCAGAGGTGTGGACTCGAGTCACATGACTCAGACTCGAGTCATTATTGTAATGACTTGCGACTTGACTCGACTTGCATCTGGTGACTTGATGATTTGAGCACATTTGATATTGTAACACAAAAGTGGCACGACATGGACAAAAATCCTAAATCATTCTTCGTCGCAGTACTTTGTGCCATGGTCTGCGTCCTGCATCCCTCCATGTGTCTCCTGGTGTTCTCCATCCTTTCCAGGTTTTTCCCTTAGGTGTTCTTTGTAGGTTTCTGTGCCCCTCTAGGTCTCCAGCTCCCTCCAGGTTTCCCACGGGTTTCCCCGTGGTGTTTTCACATTTGGAAATCCCATCCCTGGTTTTCTTATGGTTGTCTTGTTTTCAGGTTTTAGGAGTTCACTTATCTGTAGTTTCTCTGTAGATTTATCGTACCTAGTCAGTTTTCCCCACTCAGCTAATCAGTCTCACCTGATCCCTTCGTATCACTCCCCACACACCTGTCACCCGTTTCCCTGATTGTTTCCCTCTGTGTGTAGGACCCTGTCTGCATCTCAGTGTGGTGTTGGTCCATTGTTTGTGTCAGCCCCCCCCCCCCCCCCCATGTATCTAGCAACAATTGAATCCACCTGAGCTGCGTTCATGAAAACGACTAAGCCTGGAGTGAACTGGTACGCTAATTCAAGCGAGGATGTTACAAATGAGCCTCGACTTGCTGAACTCGCGTTGTGGAACAGCTGAATTCAGGAGGGAGAGTGTGGGAGGTGATAACTAAACAGGAACAGGTGGGCTGATTACTGATGGGAAGCAGGTGTGCAGAGTGGAGCTAATTCAAACTGAACTAACTGAGGCCTAGTCCACACGTAGCCGGGTTTTTTTTAAAACGAATATCCGCCCCTCCAAAAACTTGCATCCACACCACCTCGTTTAAAACAAACTCTGTCCACACGTACCCGGATAAATACGTTGTTAAGGACATGCCAGACCTGTAGGCGGCAGTACTTCCCCCGAATTGTATCCAGTCAGCGTAACTTTTCGTCTTCCTGCTTACGTTCAACAAAACATGAAACATGGTGCCCAACTCATTTGTATGGACCGATAAAGACGTAGAGTTGCTCTTAAATGTCGTTTTCGAGTATAAAGTCAACAACACCCAAGAGCTGATAAAAGATTGATAAGATTGATCAAGCGAGCGCAGCTCTGAGGGCGTCCATGCTGTCGGCTAGTGTAAACACAGGTCACACACGTGATGTCAGCATTTTTTGTCGCGGAAAGTGACGTTGCGGACCTTAAAACTCCGGTTTTGTCTGTCCACACGCAGACACCCAAAACGGAGAAAACGCAGATCTTCACTTTGGCCGGAGCTTTTAAAAAGATCCGTTTTCATGTGAAAAAACTCCGTTTTCCTGTGGATGACAGGCCAAAACGTAGAAAAATATCTACAGATCCCCGGCTACGTGTGGACAGGGCCTGAGACAAAGGAACAGACCACCACGCATTTTCACAGATTCATGGCTCACATGTTCTCTAACATCTGCCAAACCTAAATGATGCACAACTGGACATGAGAAAATAAAATTGCTGCAATGGCACAAGTTTAAGCTCTTTTTCACTCATTAACTAATGTAAAAAAATATAAAATATGAAGTTAAGTCTTCAGTAAGAACCTCTCTGCCTCTTAAACTTCTATCAAGCCTACGATCAGTTTCCCACACAGTTTGCTGATCTTCTCCTTGTTTAAGGTTGTTTTGTAAATGCTGATGTTGTTTCTGCTCAACTCTCTTGTTTTTATCCCACACCTGCCATCCTGCTCCATCCCAGTTCACCGATCCTGCAGCGTCAAAGGAAAAACACCCGAGGGGGTCGGCTCAGCGGCACGCTCATCAGTGAGACTCTACTGTTCAAACCTGCAAAAGAGGAATTTTGTTGCTGTTTGTGTTCAAACCAAAATTCTGCTGCCACTCTAGCTTGAATGTGACTGTTTTTGGTTAAAATTGGTGCAATCAAACATTTGCATGTTTTGACTCTTGTTTGACAACAAGCCAGGAGGTTTCACTCTTAAGAGGAAGTGAAACAGATCATATCGGTGCTTTTACGAGAGCCACTCTTGGCTGCAAACTGAGGCAGTTGATGATCTAATCTAGCAGATGGGATCATTTTAAATAAACATGTTTATACTTTAAACTACACCAAACACCAGTGATGAGGGAATTTGTGTAACAGAATTCACTTACATGACTCAGATGTGTAAATATTTGGTTATTATGGGTTAGTCAGCAGTGACAAAATAACTCAAGGCATTTTTAACTGTCTTCATGCAGCCAGAATGGGTCCTTTGTCTCTCCACCTTCCTTTTTACCTGAAAGTTAAATTATTTCAGACCACATCGCTGTGAGTTCATTTTATTTTGATATGCATTAACCTTCAGAAATTATAATGAAAAACACATAAAGCAGACTAATTTTTCAGCTTAAATACACATTTTTGCAGGTTATTCTTGTAGAAATCTAGATTTATTTTAGGTTTATTGATTATTTCTCAAAGATTTTTGCTTCCAGTCTTAAGATGTTTGATCAACTAAATAAATTCCAATTATCTGAACGTAAAATACCACAAAAAGTTGAGTTACATAAAGGAAAAGGGGGAAATGCACATTTCTCCACCAATGTAAAAGTTAGATTTGTGTTTGAAGTGATATATCAGGCTGCTGTTTTTCTGAAGAAACGTTAGTAAACAAACTGTTAGTAAACAAACTGTTAGTAAACAAACTGTTAGTAAACAAGCCAGTGTGCAGAAAATAGGGAATGTGTGGGCGGGTAATTACAGAGGGAGAGCAGCTGGGCTGATTAACAATGAAGTATTAGTATTTTAGTATATTATAATTAAAAGAAAAATTAAAGCTGGGGTCTGCGCTTTAACGCCATCGACACGCCCGTGTACACATAACGCCTTTAGTGCTAACGGACAAGTGATGTTTTTGATATGTTCCTGCTCAGACTCACCTGATGCTGCTGAGTGATCGAAGTAATCTCCTCAGCTCAGCTAATTTGAGTTGACCATTGAGCAGGATTGATGGTGTATCCCTTTTAGGTCCACGTGGCAGGGGTGAGGTCCACGTGGCGGGGGTGAGGTCCACGTGGCAGGGGTGAGGTCCACGTGGCGGGGGTGAGGTCCACGTGGCGGGGGTGAGGTGGTGCTCACTCCTCACCCCCGCCACGTGGACCTAAAAGGGATAAACCATCAGTCCTGCTCAATGGTCAGCTTTCCTGGCGGGGTCACCCCCGTTAGGACAGTGGGTTAGGGTTAAAGCTGAGTGTCAGACAGGGAGGTATTGGGCCCTACTGTTAAAGTCTGATATTTGAACCCTAATCTCCCGTTCCCAGAGTGGACTCTCTACCACTAAGCTGTCTATGTAGTCCTTGTTGGCACAAATGAAATATTGATGGGAGAACAACTCAGAGTTTTCCTTTATCCCATTCTCATTTAGTTAGCATCAGTTAATGGGGGCTGCCTGTGGACGCGCGTGAACCTTGCACGTCGCTCCTCACCCCGGTTAACGAGGAAGGAATCCATCTGAGGTTTGCAGGTGGAGCCAAGCGTCCTGCAGTGAACTGGTATGCTATTTCTATTTCACACATGACTGTTTTGAGATTATTTCACTGTAAAGTTCTTACTTTAAGGATGGGAGGCAGACAGCTAAACAATGACAGCGACTCCACAGTAAAACTAAAAGGCTTCCTGCTGAAATTCCACACATTCCTGATCATTAAACATGATGTTGGCCGATTTCCCAGTGAACCCAGACAGTCCAGAATAACCACGAGGAGAGTTCAGCTGACCTTCGGATGTGAGTGAACTGGTCACTGTCTCTTTTTATATCTGGTCTCCAGAGAATAAAAGCTCTCTCTGTAGATGGACGGACACTGTCGAGAACAACGAGGCGTCTGGCTTCGACACAGCGGAGCCGACAGCGGCAGGGCCACACGGGCTCCTGTCCTTTCATCACAGGCTCTTCTGACTGCAGAGAGCTGGCTGGAGTGAGGCGAGGACTGGCCTGTGCTTCGGTCCGCATGGTTTCATCGAGCAGAGAGGATGGCTCATGGCGACGGCTGCTCATTAGTGATTGTATGGCAGCCAGTCTCCCACTTCAGCTCAACAGGATTACCGAACGAGTTCTGCTGAGGTTTGCTTCTTCCTGTCGTAAACATCGTTGCCTCTTTTAGAGCAGTATGACACCTTTTAGTCCTCTTTCATCGTGTTATTTTTTACTCTGTTCATCAGTTCGCTTCACCTTTTGTGTGGTTTGGCCAAATAAAAAGATCTGAGATGCTTTTTGCTGTTGGACTGGACCGTTCTGTGTTGGTGCTCTGAGTGAGAACATTGTTCCTGCAGTGATAAGGTCTCATTCATGCCTGATCGTAATCACCTCTGCAGCGTAGAACATTTGTTCCCTCTATTCATGCCACTGCCCTTCAGGAAGAAGCCAAAACTGATTTTGCTGCAAAACAGCGAACAACAAAGCAATAAGTCACAGAACTGACCGCTACAGTGGAGGTCTGAAGGAAGCAGGGGTTGTTTAGCTGATTTATTACCAAAAACTATTTATATTCTAATAACTGTTGTCCTAAATACACACGGAAAGCAGTAAAGAAAGTGCATTGCAGAATATGGAAACTAATAATAAAGAATTGAAAGTAAAATGCACAAACTAAAACATCAGAGCTACGTTCCAGCAGTGAAGGAAAAGAGTGTGTGCTTGTGCACGAGTCACTACTCATAAAATACATGTGGAATAATCAGGGAACTGAAACAAATGTCAGTGATTTAACAAAGGAGCAAAATGACAACGTATTGTAAATGAGCACACTTGTAGGGCTGTCTTACAGAGAATTTAGTTATTTAAAAAGTGTGAAAGTATGAGTAGTAAACAAATACAGCCACAAGAGGCGGGGCGTGTCTTTGCTTCTAGAAATCACA